ACATTCATTCTCACCCACACTTCCAACCTTGGCATTTGCCACAATGCTGAGCACTCCCCCAGTGCCGCCAGGTGACTGTTTAGCTGTGCATGTGTCCTCTAAATTCCAGGATTAGATCTTTACAAGCTTTCTGCAGACAGCCATTCCCAGCTTCTCCTTCTGAGGATCGTTGCTAAACTAGCTTAGGTCTTGCTCTCATCTACCACCTCAGGCAGCTGTGATATTAAACAATTACCTCTGATTGTTTTCAACAAGTAGCTGGCTGAGGAAGGCTATGTATCAGGTCACCAAAGACTCCCTTGCAAGCAGGGAGCCCTGGAAAGGTCAGATGGGACAATCCTCTGGGGATGCGGCTTTTTAATAGTTTCAACCCACTCTCATCAGCCAGCAGCTCCAGGTCAGTGTTGGTTTTCAAGGCCACTAGCATGCTGGAGTGGTGAATGGGGACACAGCAATCTACAGTGCCACAGAGCTCACCATCCTGCTGGAGTTCAGCCTCTTCCTTGTATCATGCACTGGATTGCTGTAAGCCTCAGTTTAAAGTCTAGAATTCTGGAATATTAATTCTGACACTCACCCTGCCCTTCTAGTGTTCTTAGTGTTTTTATGAATGAAATGACTTTCAAAATGACTTTTACTTATGTCGATATTCAGTGTGGATTTCACTGGGGTTTGTCTTTTCATGAGTGAAGTTCACTGTGATGTGTCTAAAGGATATTTGTATTTTCTTCTCTATGAAGTATTTATGTCCTTTGCCTACTTTTCCATTAGTTTTTCTTGTTTTGGACTTTTATTTTTGATTTTAAGAAAGTTTACATAGTATGGTGTCTTGGTTATTTTTCTCTCATCACTGGGAAAAATACTCAACACCCCAAAGTAAGAAAGGAAAGGTTTATTTAGCTCACAGTTTGTGGAGGTTTTAGGCCATAATCATCTGGCTCCAAAGCATGGCACATGGGTAACACTTCAAGGTGACAGAAGACAACAAAAGCAACAGGAGCATAAGGAGGATGACAACAAGCTTCTCTGCCTCCCTTACATTGTAAGCAGGCTCTGAGCGCCCCAAGGCAAGTGTAGCACTCACACCATCTCCAACCCCTTCCCTTGCACAGGATGAGGATGTTTACAAAGTGAGGACCCTGGCCCCCTGCTGAGTTGCTTAAACTTCTAAACTTTTCAAGTTGACACAATGTATCGACCATTGCATATAGTAACTAATCCTTTCCAAGTGATGAAAATTGTAAATATTTTCCAGTTTGTCATTTGAGTTTGCTTTTATCGTTGTTTTTATTTAAATATATCAAATTTTTAAAAATTTGCAAATGAATAAGTTATAGTTCAAACAACATTATCCACTACATGTTTTAAAAGAAATCACACATACTTCCTTCTATACTTATGATTTCTTCCTTTTTTAGCCTTTGCTTTCTGATCCCTTTGGAGTTCATCCTAGTGCATTTATGAAGTTCAGACTCATAATTGTCCCACATGCTTATTTAGCTGTCTCAGAACAATGACAAATGCCTCTTTTTCCCAGTGTCTTGAGGTACTTGCAGTGTGTGTTGGGTATGAATATGCATTGGGTCTACTCTGAGTCTTTTTAATTTCTGCTAATGAATCTTTCTGTTTTGAGACACTGGTCCAATACTATTTAAATTACTGAGGATTCCAGTATGTCTTAGTGTATGTCAAGGCCCAGCCCACATTCTCAATATCTTTCCTTTCTTTGGAGTGTTTCTGAATAAATTTCCTTTTGGTTTCCCCAGAGTTCATCACATGAAAAACCTTATGCATTCTAAAGGGATTACATCAAATTATTTAAATAATTTGAGAAGTACTCAGATTTTATGATTCTGTTTTCCTGCACAAGACTACATTGTAACTTTTGTTGGTTTAAGTCTACATTTTGGACATTTGGGAGAGGGTTTAGTTTTTCACATTAACATTTACACGTGTCCTATTTACTGTGTTCTCTGAGCTTTCATCCTCATGAGTTAAAGAACATCTGCAACAGCTATCTCTCCATCTTGCTCCTCTCTTTGGCACAAATGTTTTCGATATTTCCCCACTAGCGAAGAAGCCTGGTTTGGGGTTGAGATGCACCAATTTTTTAAATAAAATTTTTTATTAGTTCATTTTATCAGAGCTTGACCTGATTCTGGAAGGATACTTTTGGATGCTTTTAGGGGAAATTGTGTTGCAGCATTGGGTAAAAGAAATACATAGAGAGCTGTCAGAATGCCCTGTGGCTATGGATCAGGTGTCCAGAGAGGGTGGGGTCCGGATAGGTACTCAGAGACCACCCCAGATAGCTTGTGAGGCCTACACAAGCAGGGTGAGGCCCAGTGCTGCCTTCCAGGGCAGCAGGAATGAGGAGGAGACTTCACACAGCACTCAGGCACCTGTCACAGGTGACCACGCAGCACCTCAGCAAGGACTGCAGATCCGACACAACCACGTAGCCGTGGAAGTGGAAGAGACTACAGCAGTCACTTCCGCTGAAGGGGAGCGAGGGGCTCTCTTCAGGACTGAGCACAAAAGTGCTCATCGTCTGTCCTCTCCCCCAGCCCCAGATTGCTGAGGAGGCTCCACACCCACGATTCTCCTGGTGTTCCTCAGACTGGCTGTGGGCTGGGACAGGCAGGGTTCTGCCAGAGGAGCCTGTGCAGGGCCCAGGGGACCCTGGCAGCAGACCCAGAAGTGCTTCCAGCCCGCAGGGACTCGGCTCGTTTCCCCCTGCCTGTTTACCCAAGTGCAGTGCTGGAAATAGTTGAGCACAAAGCCTAGCCTAGCAGACAAAGAAAATGATGTTTATGTTCATGAAAAATTCAGCACTAATTATACGTCTGTGAGCCAGGGGGAGTTACGAGATTGTGGGTGCAGGATGTTCATCTTGTTAATAGAGCTTGGGGCACTTATTTTCCGTGCCATTTATAAAGCCTTTGATGGACAGAAGCTGCTTTTGTCAGTCCATAAAATTATAAGATATAAAGGATATTATGGTGATTATATGGAGAGTATTTTCATTTAGTTTCTGGCTAGTGAGGAGGGCTCTCTTCCTGTTACTGTGATATTCCAGCAAATGTAGCAGGAACTTAACGGTGTTCTTAAAATTCCGCACACTGACTCAGGATCGGACAGCAGGAATAAGATTTTGTCCATCAAAAAATAATTACTGCTAGGAGTATAGCTCAGTGGCATAGTGCCTGCCTGGCAAGCTCGAGGTCATGAGTTTGATTCCCAGTAACCGCCTCCTTCACCAAAAACTAGAAGTCATTATGTGTAACAAGCTTGTTAAGGAAATGGTTTTTACATTTCATTTCTGACTCTCTGTTTATGAGTGGTAGCTCCAAGATTCCAATCCTGGGGACTGAGTGACACATGCGATACCACAGCCCACCTGAGAGTAGGGGGGCCTCCTCGTCAGCTTTCCAAGGACCAGATCAGCTTTTCCTGTGTGGCAGGCGGTGCTCCACGGGTGAGCGAGCAGCAGAGTGAGATGAACAGGAAAAAATGTAAAGCGAAAGCGATTGCTCCTTTGGTGAGAACAGAAAGTTCAGAAACTCAGCTTTACAGACTTTCGACCTTATTTATCTGGATTGAGCCCTGTGAACCCTGGACCCTGGCCCACCACTGTTTTTGATCTGCGAGATTGATGATTTCCCCTGGTTGATCAACCCAGCTGCACCTCAGGGCTCAACCAGGCTGCTCCACACCGAAGCCTTCGCTTTCCCAGCTGCAGCCTCTGGCCTCACCTCTGCCCAAATCTATGTCTGCAGCAGGGGCTGGGTGCAGGGTGTCCTGGTCAGGTCTACTCCTACAGACACCTCCAGATGAGTTTTTAAAGGAGATCCAAACATTTTCTGAAATTCCTTTATGAGGCGAAGTCCAATTATCCCCCCCCCTCCCACCCTGGAGTTGGATGTGGCCTTGCAGGCTGCTTCCAGGGGACAGAATAAAGCAAAAGTTACAGCACGGGACTCTGAGACTTGGCAGTGAAAAGGCCTGGACTCCTCCCCACACGCACACGCACGCCCGTCACCTGCTTGGGAGGACCTACTCCCATGCTCTGAGCAGCCCCGTGGAGAGGCCCCCGGGGAGAGACTGACTCTCCACCAGCAGCAGGTGAAACCCCTTGAACATCACAAGTGCGTCCTCCAGCCAAGTCCTCCAAACCTCACAGCCCAGCCAGGCCCTGACCACAGTGCCACGGGGAATCCCAGCTGAATCACCCTGCTAAGAACCCCCGTATTCCTGGCTCTCAGAAAGTATGGGATGATCTGTATTTGCTGCTTCCGGCCATAAGTTCATGGTGTTTTGTTTTGATTTGGTTTGGGTTTTTTTTTGCAAGAACCAGAAGTACAAATTTAATTCACCACCCTAGCAGTTTCTTAGGGATACAAATTACTACAAAATTGGTGAGTTCAGACAAGAAAAATTAGCTGGCTGTGGTGGCACACATCTGTGATCCCAGTAGTCTGGGAGGCTGAAGCAGGAGGATCATGGGTTCAAACACATCCCAGGCAATGTAGCTAGTTCCTGTCTCATGCTTTAAAAAAGGGCTGGGGTTGTAGCTCGGTGGGAGGTCTGAGGTCCAGTACCTGACACTGCTAAAACAAAGCCAAGTAAAGCCAGAAGTTTATTCTCTCTGAGGGCAACTCAGGGGGCAACAGGGCTAGATTCCCTCTGAAGGTTTTGGGGGGAGAATCCTTCCCTGCATCTTTGCACTTCCAGTGGCTTCCAGCATTCCCCAATCGGGGCCAAGCCAACCCCTGCCTCTGTTCCCACGCACTTCTTTCCTGAATTTTTGTGTTTTGTGTCCTCTCCTCTTATACAGATGCCATTTATCAGATGATCGCATCCCAAGATTCTCACCTAATTACATCTACAAAGATTTAACTGGTTGAGGTTCCTTTAGAATATGAATGTTGGGGTCAAAGGTCACAGTGGAATGAAACTAATAATCAACTGCAACAGAAACCACACAAATGACACACACAGCAACAGAATGATATATATTTCAGCAATCAGTGGAATTGGGATAAATTAAAAAATTCTTAGAATCAAATGATAACACAATGTCCTTGAATCTATGGGACACAGTGAAAGCTGTTTTAAGAGAGAAGTGTGGAGCTGTGAGTGCCTACATCAGAAGGGCAGAGCATCCTTAAATAAAAAAAAGCCTGATGATGAGTCTCAAAATCCTAGAGAAACAATAGCAAACCAAACCCCAAACTGATAAAGGAAAAGAAATAATAAATGTCACAGCAGAAGAAATAGATACATTTACAGCCTATCAAAGTGAAGCCCAGAGGATATAAAAAGCTTAAATATATCAATAACAACCAACAAGACTGGTTTGGTACCAAAAAGTTTCCCAACGAATAAGCCCAGAACTAGGTAAGTTCATTGCTGAATGTTATCAGACTTACAAAGAACAACTAATACCAGTGTTCCTCACACTGGCCCATGGAATAGGAAAGGAAGGAACGCTGCCAAGTTTGTTCTGTGAAGCCAGCATCATCCGAATGCCAAAAGTGCATAAATACTCAACAACAAAACTACAGAGCATTATCTCTAATGCACATATATGCCAAAATTCTAAGTCAAATTATTGCAGATTGAATTCAACAACAATTTTAAACGATCATACACCTTGACCAAATTGGATCAAAAGATGGTTTAATATACACAGATAAATAAATGTAATATACCACATAGATTCAAAGATAAAAATTGCAATGATCATGCCAGCAGATGAGGAAAAAGCCATTGACAAAATTCAACACCACTTCATGATAAAACTCCTAAAGAATTAGGTATAGAAGTATCTTACCCCAATATAATAAAAGCTACAGTATGTGTTCAAACCCACAGCCAACATCGCACTAAGTAGGAAAACTGGGAACATTTCCTCTAAAATCAGGAGTGAGGCAAGGCTGGCCAAGGACACCACTTTTGTGTCTGGAGTTCTTGAGATTTTTGCCAGGGGTATAGTTCAGTGGCACAGCACTGCCTAGTAAGCATGAGGTTGTGTGTTCAATTTCAGGTACCTCCCCACAATAAAACCCAAATTTTAACCAGCAGAATTGGTGAAAGAGAGAAAAGGAATTCAAATAGGAGAAAAAGAAGCTAAACTATCCCTCCCTGCAGATGATACGAGTCTTAGAAGCCTTAAAAGAAGACTTTAAATCTAATCACTAAATTGAGCACAGGCAGGATACAAAAGCAACACACAAAATCAATAGCTTTTCTCTATACACCAATAATGAACCCACTGAGAAAGAAATCAGGAAACCAATTCTACTCAATAATGGCTCCCAAAAACTAAATACCTATGCCTTGGAATTGACCAAACCAAGTGAGAGACTTACAGTGAAAGGTTCAGGACACTGAAAAAAAAATGAAGAAACTGGAAGATAAAGACCTCCTGTGCTCAGAGCTCAGCGGAATTAGTATTGTTAAAATGATCATATTACTGAAACAATCTACAGATTCACAGTCCTCATCGAAATTCCAATGACATTCTTCACAGAACTAGAAAAAACAATCCTCAAATTCATATGGAAGCACCAAAGACCCAGTATGGCTAAGGCGATCCTAAGCAAAAAGAGAAAGCTGGAGGCGTCACCAAATTATTACACCTGATTTCAAGTTATGCTTCAGAGACACAGTAAGAACAGCCGCAGGACACCAGCACAAAAAAAGACACACAGACAAATGGAACAGAATAGAAGACACAGAAGCAACCCCACAGCCACAACCATCTGATTCCGGACAAAGCATTCAAAAGCACAAGCTGGGAAAAGAGAGCCTGCCTAACAAACGTGCTGGGAAAGCTGGGCTTGAGACAAGGCCTCTAGCTCTCACCCTGTACCAACATCAATTCAAAACCTGAAGCTTCTAAGGAAATGCATGGGCAAAACATTTGACGCTATCTGCACAGGCAAGGCTCCTGAGTCGGACCCAGTGACACAGAAACAGGAGTGAGAATCAGCCCGTGCAAACGGGAGGCTAACAAGCTCCTGCACCAGGGAGTAGTGAGGACCGCGAGTGGGGAAGCAGCTACAGAATGCAAGAAAGTCGCTGTCAGATACTCTGCTGAGAGAGGGGAGCAGACCACACACACACACCCTAAAAAACCTAGTGAATAAAGGGCAAATGAACGCAACCATTCTCAAAAGGAAGAATACAAATAGCCAGCAAATATGTGAAAAATGTTCAGCATCTTTTCCCATCAGGGAAATGCAAATCAAAACTGTACTCAGATTCCATCTCATCCCAGCCAGCACGGCTGTCACCAAGAATGCAGATGATGGTGGTGATGATGATGAAAGCTGCAGGATATGGGAAATAAACCTTTCTACACTGCAGGGTACAGTAAGTTAGCACAGCCACTGTGGAAATTGTTAGGGAGGTTCCTCAGAAAACTAAACCAGAGCATGCATTTGATCCAGTCATATCAGCCCTTGATATAAACCCCAAAATATTTTTTAAAAACACACCATTGTGATACACGCATGTTCATGTTCATGGCATCACAGTTCACAATAACTAAACCATCTAAACAGCCTACCAACAGATGAATGTGTGAGGAAAATTATAATACATATATTCAAAAGAACATGATTGAGCCATAAAGAATAAAATTATACCATTTGCAGGAAAATAGAGGCAATTTTGCTGAGATGACAGATCCACTATTCAGTCTTTCTGAAACATTCCTTCTTATGTAGTTTGCTTTTTGCATATGTTTTTTTCAAATTATGATCTTTGAAAACTGACAGAACTTTCTACAAATAAGGCAGTACTTGATCATTTGATTCAGCAAAGCAGTACATTCTCCTCGGTCAGGTTTCGAACACCTCTTTATCCACTGATTTTCTTTTTGGAGAGACAGTCTTTCCTCTTTTGAGATAATGCTGAAGCCATGCTGGAGTTTAAAAAAATCATACATAAACAATACATATCGGATAATTGAATGTGTAATTATAACAGCATCACAAACAAAACACTATTTGATACCTTTGTGTAAGTTCCATACCACCTTCACTGATTTGAAATGAACCAAGCCCAGGTTTGAATAAACACAGCACATGAGAGAAGGGGACGTGAAATGCTATCTGCTTAAGTTGCACAAATGCACATCACGTCCCAAGCATAGTTGTTTGTGGTGGGCACAGGATCGAGTCATTAAAAACTCCACCCCGGCCCCATGGTGTTCTTAGGAGCCCACGTCCCTGGGACCTGGTCGTTAGCTGCCCGGAGCCCTGCAGACTGTGGCTGGATGAGCCTGGCAAGCGTCCTTGGATCTATCGCCATTGAGTTTGTCTTTGGGCGTCGGAACCAGCCGCTGCCTCTGCATGTTAGCACGCGCTGCCTAAGCCACCCAGGCCCTCCTATTTTCTCACCCTTATTATCATCCCATGTACCCCAAAGCCCGCTCCAGGGGTCTTCTCTGAGTCCAGGAGAAATTCTGATGCTTGCCCTGTGTCCCCCACTACCTGTGCAGTGGTGTAGTTGCAATCCTTCTTTCCCTTAGGGACGAAATTCTAGGGCCACATCCACATCTGTCTGCCTTTTCGTCACTGTTGCTGTGCATGGTAGGTGGCAGCATTTGTGCTTGATAAATGGGTTCCAGAGAGCCCTCATCAGAAAGGTCTCTCCTGTCATAGCCGGTTTCATCTCCCTGTCTATCAGCATTCAGGGATCGGATCACCATGGTGGAGCCACCAGGTGCTTAGCCTCCCTTTTCAGCCCGTGCCCTTAGCAACGGCCAAAAAAAAAGACAGAACCCTACTCAGAGGGGGCGACAGGAAGGGTGCTCTTCTTAGTGAGAAGACAGCACCTGAAGCTGAGGAGGGACAGGACAGAGTGGCAATGCACTTGGCGCTTCCTAAGCTCAACAATGGTCGCGCTCAGTGACACCAGCTGCTGTTACTCATTCAGGTGCCCAGGCTGCCCTGTGCTATCTGAATCGGGCTTGTTTACTTGGTGGACATGACCCTGGGCTGCTTCTCTGCTCCTTGTCACCTCCTTGATGCCCATGAAGTGTCCCAGGAAGGAGTTTACTAAAGAACAACACTGGTCAGCATGGACTTCAGTGCTCTGGGTCAGGAAGTAGAGGCCCAACCCCAGCATGGCGACCATCTAGCCTGGACAGTGGCATGGTTAGTGCCAGGGGACTTCCGGAGCTCAGAGAGGAACAAGAGGGTGTTAGCCACTGTCCCCCACCAAGCTGCTGTAGAGCCCACAGCTTGTATCAACCCAAAGGGGTTGGGGTAGTAGACATCTTGCCCATGCCCCACCAGCTGTGGCTGGAATTTGCTTGTCCAAAGGAGGAAGTTTCAGCACTGTGTCTTCCCGGAATGGGATGGGCTATAAAGAGTCTCTTTTCCTACAAACTGGGGTCCAGCCAGGCAGGAAGGGGAGCTGGACAGAGACACTGTGGAGTCACTGTCGACCTCATGCCCTCCATCCTTCAGGCAGGGCTGACGTTCTCCACTGGGAACCGCCAAGGGCAGACGCACCATTTTAACTTGAGGGAACCCATGAATTGTCCTCTTCCCCCAGAGAAACATTGCTCAAATCAGAGACTGGGAGAGACATCAGACCTCTACTCTGGAAAAGGTGGGTGGCTCCTCAACCAGCAGAGGACCAGTTCCACAGCCTGGGGCAGAGGAGAGGACATCCACGCCCATGCTTTGGGATGTGCAGCAGGTGCATCTGTGAAGCTCCCTTCCCAATGCCAGCAGGAACATCTGCCAGGTGACCTGATCCTCTGCCCAGAGGCTGCTGGGGATTTCCACAGGGAACCACTCTCCCTGGTGAGGATTCTCCAGGAAGAGCAGGAAAGAGGCAGGGCAGGACAAGGACAGGGACCGGGAGCTGAAAGGATCTGCAGATGGGATCAGGCCTGCAGCCTTGGGGAGCTTGGCTGAAGGAAAGGTGCATGGCAGGGCTCCAGCAGCAGGCAGGGCAGGGCTAGTCTACCAGGAAGGGACATCTGAGCCCCACAGGCAGAGGCCAGGCTGGGCAGGAGCAGAGGTTTTGGCATCTTGACACCAGGCCCTTGTGGAGGTGTCCACTGTCCACTGGCAGGAAGGATGGATGATCCTGGGTCTGAGCAGAGGATGGGGTGGTTTCTATGGAGAAGCCAGGCCTGCAGGGGGTCTTCAGTGATGGGCTCATGAAGCAGGGTGCTTCACAAGGGAACTGGGGTCCCCGGCACCCTGTCTTGTGCTGGCCTTCAAGATGCAGCTGAGAGTCTCATGCAGAAAGACTTAGCACCACATGTCAGAAGACAAGGCTCCTGCTTGCCTCTGAACCTTGCTTTCTTTTTCTTGCTGTCACCTCACATTGTGAATTTGGATGACACAGTCTGTCACAAGACTTGCAAAACTACTGTTGGAAAATATACTCAGACAGCTCTGGGATGGCACCGCAGCCTTGAGCCAGCTGCATAGGATAAGCACGAGCTCCAACCGAGCATTCTGATGAAAGCCAAAATCTCCCACCTACGCCAAAACCACGTGTGTGCATTTGGCTTCCTGTTGTGCTATAAGAACCCTGACCCTGCTTTAATCTGGGGGCCACCTGACCTTTATGTACTCTCTGATGTCTGTCAGGTGAATGAAGTGTTTAATGTCTATTTCAGTCACCTACATAACTGTCTTTTGATGCCCAATACTAACAAAAAACACACTGGGATGCTATTTGGTTGCCTGTTCCTAAGCCATATTCTGTGTCCTGTGGCAGTTGGCCAAGGTTGGGATAGGGGCCCGGGTCCACCTCCCCCCACCATGGCATGGAGTTTGGTCTAACGGTGCGCGGGACAGAGTTTGAGAGCAGCTGCCATGCGAGTTAGGCGCCCAGGGCAGTGGTGGGCTCTTCACTCTGCCTTAGAAACCAGGGTGGGGACAGGGATGGGAGGAGAGAACAGAAGCGTCGCTGAGTGGTGACGCCTGTGTTTCAGCTCCCTGGCTAAGGAACTCACAACCTGAAGCTTGCTTTAGGGTCCAGGACTCTACTCAATTTTTGACTCAAATTCCCAGCCTGCAGGGCTACAGGGAGAACCACTGCAGTCCTTCTTGGGACCCCCACTCCCCAATCCTGGCACTGGGGAGGTCAGGGGTCACAATGGCAACTGTCACTCTGTCCTCCGGACTTGTAGCTCTCACTTGCACCTGTGCTGGGCCAATGTGGGTGTGACCACTCTCTGGTGTCCTGCTGGGAGCCAGGATCGCCCATGTCTGCTCCTGGGGTTCCAGCCTCACACTCCCCTCCTCCCCCCAGCCTACAGCTATCTCTGGTCCGGGAAAATCTCCCCTCATGACTCTCCAAGTGTAATTGTTCTCAGGAGCTCACATCCTCCCAGCTAAGGACCAAGCCACCCCCAGCTAGTGTCTCAGGTGTCAGCCAGACAGTGGTGTCAGCCTGTGTCTGTGGCAGAGGCCTAGGTGAGGAGTGAATGCAAAGAAAAGGCTCAGCTCAGTCTGCAGCGTTAGCAGTTTTAGTCCAGGACGCTGGCCCTGCTGCCTGTGACTGGCAGAGTGATGAGATGGGGTGAGGTATGTGCTGACGGTCAGCGGGGAGGACAGGAAGGGGCCAGCTGGGTCTCATCTATCAAGGCCTCCCCTGCACTCAGCCTCCCAATGTCCTCCCTACAGTCTGCTCTGGGGACCAAGCCTCAGCACCTGGGCCTGTGGGTGGCCCCCCAGAGCTGCACGGTAGTCGTGGGATCGTGCCTGGTTTGCACCACCTGTGGAGCAGCCTGGCTCCCGGTTCTCTCTGCTGCACACCTCTGGTGTTCACATGTGATAATCTGAGTGTGAGAGATGGTCAGCTCTAGAGGAGAAGGGCTTTCCTTCCAGTGAGGGAAGCAGCCTCAGGACAGACCAGGACCTACTGTTCCCAAAGCCGAAGGGGGTATTGGGCAGCTGGTACGAGCCTGGTGCAGGGGGAGGGTAGGTCAAGAAGAAGTATGTGCACCAGGGGTCCCCAGGCGCCACACACATGGGGACAAGGGCCAGGGAGGACAGGGTTTGCTGGGGCAGAATCAAGGGCACCTCCTCTGCAGACTTCTACAGCCCACAGTTATTGTGGAGGACCCTGCAGTGCACTTAGCAGTGGCCTACTGTGACGAACTGTAACCTCTCCACACATTTGATCTAAAAAAATGCCTTTTGAAGCCGCCCTGGAATCTGTGTCAGCTCCCACAGAAGCTCGCAGGAAGCTGGGCGGGAGGACCCCCCACTGGCCACCCTGTGCTGGGAGAGGGTTTGCTCTCCTAATTGTCCAGCCCATTAACACCCTCATTACAAGCATCAAACCACTAAAATGTTACAAACAGGGACGGTGCAAAAGTAATGCAGGGTAATGAGATGAAATTGCCATTAGTGTTTTAAAATGATGTATCCAGAAGATGGAGGTGATTAACTTGTCTGTGAATTCATTGCCACTTCCCTCACATCTGGGCCGGCAAAGTGTCAGACAAGTGGGAGGAACATTCCCGGTCAAACCAGAAATATTAGAGCCAGCCTAAGAAAGTAGATGAGTAGCTACAGCTGGGATTCAGGAACACTCTGCTCTGCCCGTCCTCTCCTTGCTGTGTCCAGAGACGTCCCCAGGGTCCCAGGTCAGGCACAGGGACACCATCCACCACGGCGGAGTGAGTGAGGAAGCGGATGCATTGTTCAGTGAACAGCCGTAAATGATACGCAATTCCGTTTGTTGTTTAGAGAGGGATCTGTACCTTCCGGTGGGTTTACTCTTCATATCTGTGTAAACACAGAAACTATCTGGATGAATCTGTGCCAAACTGTTACTCCTGGCGAATGGACTGGGAAGTGGGGAATGAATACTTCGCTTCAGAAAAGGCCAGATTCTAGGAGCACAAGTGCTCGTGCCCATGAGATGCCACAGGCAAGAGCAGAACCTCCCAGCAGCGCACTGCACTCATGTGAGATGCCAGCCCCCACTTCAGAAGCAGACGGAGCACCAAGAGCTGCTGTCCCCCAGGAGTGACACCTGAATGTCGCTTTCTTTGATCCTCTTTTGCATCTTCTAAGATGTCTACAATGAGGGCTTTTACTTTCATCATATATAGACACACAAGGTTTTTAAGAGAAAATGGAAAACAAGCATTACCCAAGCTCAGTTTTGGTAGCAGAAGTTCCTGTCCCTGACGCCTGTGATCTACGGGAAATTTGCTCAGGTTCTGTGCCTGAGAAATGAAGCAGCTCCCCCAGGGCAGGCCAGGCCTTGGCCTTTGTCTCTGATGCTCCTGGAATAGAGCTCTAGAATCCAGTGCTCCCAGACTTGCCTCCTCCCCCACCCCATAGGTTCCTGACCACCCTGAGATTGAGATCGAGGCTGGGGCTCAATGGACGTTGAGTCCACCGGGTCTCCAACTACGGTGTTATGGATTAAGAACTGGTGGTCAACTTAACGCCACCTGGATTACATCAGCATGGCACTGAGTGAAGATGCTCCACCTAAGGGAAGTTGCCAGCATAAATAGGTGGAGAAGGAGAAAGAAGTTGTTAATGTGTTGATGCATTATTGCATTGCATTGAGGCATTGTGGGTTCCCCTACCAATTGCTGTTTGAGCCTTTGGTTCTCCTGAAGAAGTTTTGGTCCTCACATCAAGCATTGCTTCCTGGCTCTGAAGGGAAAGATATGTGCCACTTGTTCTCCAGGATGGGTTCGTCATGCTGGCTTCCTGGCATGTACCCGACTGTGCTTGTCGTTGGAAGAGCTCGGCCTCCATGTTGCTGAGGGTGGCTGTGGTGCCTTTCAGGATAGCCCTGGTCTTTGTTGTGAGTGTGAGTTCCCGGCCCCAGCGTAGAACCCTCATCCCACCAGCACAGCTCTTTCACCCTGCTGGCATAGACTTTCTGGCTCCCACCGCTGACCTTTGGGCCTTCCCAGCACGGATCCGTAAAAGAGACTGGTGTGAGTCCTTCTTGTGGGCTCAGGACCTCCAGTTGGACTCGTGGGAGGCATTATCTTGAGCTCTGGGTTTTTATCTGAATTCACGTGGGACATTGCTGTGGGATTTAGGCCCTTGACTAAATATTCTATGTCTGGTTTTGTGGATAGATTTCCTGCATTTTCTTGTGTTAACTCCTAGTGACCATTATAAAAATATTATAAACTCCATGTCCTGATTCTAGTGTTCTCTGCACAACCCCTAACTACAACACACAGTGACGTCTGGCCCACTATGCTTCCCCTAACAGACCGAGGACTTTGCTTCAAAACGAAAGCAGAAGGTTTTAAATAAACAGGCAGATGCTACTACTGAGCTCTGTGTGGACGTCTGTGAAGGGGTGGTACGTGTCACACAAGAGTGTGGCAAGATCAAAGCCACCTTCAGATACACTGAATGTGGACCGCTGGCCAGGGAGCTCTCTGGGCAGCTCTGTAGGTGGTGGACGGGGGATGCACAAGGTGGGCAGGAGGCTGAGGCCCACATGTGTCAGTTTGTGAACAAAATGGGGCAGCATGCTGGAGAAGCCCTAAAAAAGACGGGGTTCTCTTTTGAGGAGTAAATTACAATATCATATAATAAAACAATAGGCATTTTATCCAGACAAGACTAGACTGCCAAGCAAGAAGACCAAGTCATAGGCACACAAAGACCCAGCCTCCTCTCCAGAGCTCTCCAAGCCGGCAGACTGTGGAGTTAGTAAGGAATCAGAGACTCCTCCTTAGAGCTCGAACCCTCAACAGACAAGGCAGAGAGCAGGAGCACCCACACTGGGGCAGATGGGCGGCGGTCACAGAGGTCAGAGAATCGTTCCACTGAGCTTTTCTAAAGACCTTTGCTTCCGAGCCTTAGATGTGATTAGGAGGGTGTCTAATATACTCTTTTTCTTTGGTTAGGTAGCAAGCTTCTGCTAATGTTGCAGAATATGTGGGAAAGATTTCCACACGGTTATTCAATTAAATAAAGTAGAAACTTTAAATAGATTGAGGTTTGTTAATATGGAACGAGATTTTATATATTTTTTTTGAGCTAGCAATTTCACTAGCAAGAAGGAAATAAAGCAAGGCCTGAGCAAATAATGTATTCTGGAGGACACTAACTATAATAAAGAGAAATCAGAAACATTGAAAGAATTCAGTGAGGTGCAGTCCATTCACACGTGGGTGCCTCCTGCTGAATACTTCCCATCGGTTCTCTACCTTGCAGGGCGTGTGACAGGATTGCATTTCTCGGCCCACTCTGGTTGGGCAAGACCACGGGACCTATTCGGCCAACGAACTGCAAGCAAAGTAGCAGGTATCCATCCAACCCACATGTCTACTTACCATGCCGGATCCTCTAGAGCCCTCTCTTCTCTCTGGCGTGGTGGCAGGCATGGTTTGGATGACACTGCCCCATCAGCCTCCATCTGGAAAGAATCCCAACAATGGCACAGAGTGGCCGAATTCCCATGTGTAACCTGAGTGCAAAGCAAGCAGCAAGATTTGGGATTGCTCGTTACCGCAGCACAGCCTGGCTTATCCTGACTGACAGGAAGGAAACCAGTGCGGCAGTGGTAAATAGTCACAGTGCACAGCACTGTCACATTTAAAAGCAGCTACAAACACCATATCCACCTTGAGGCGGTTTCATGTACCTATGAAAAGTAAAAATACTGATACATGTTCTCCAAATTTTGCTAAAAGGTAGGTTGTGAAATTATGTATGACCCGTCATGTGTGCACAGTACTTCTTTATAAGCTAGAGTCCTGTATTATATACTCTAAAAGTTAAACTCCCAGAGCAAATCTTAGAACTTCTTTTCAAATATGTATTTGAACTTTCTTATTTATAGTTTATCTTTTTCTTTTACAACAATTCTTCCTGCTTTCAAAATGTATATGTGGACCACAAGTTTGGTGTGTTTCTTCCATGTTTTGTCTGATTTTGCACAAGGTTCTCCTTTTCCCGTGGCTCTCAGCACAGTGTCTGACAAGGGGAGGCATGGTTGCACCCACCTATAATGTCAGCTACTCCAGAGGCTGAGGCAGGAGGATGGCAAGCTGGAGGCCACCCTGGGCAACAACATAGTGAGACCTCGTCTTAAAAAGAGCTAAGGATGCAACTTGGGGTACAGAGCCCTCATTCAATATCAGTATCACCAAAAAAGTGGGGGTAATCTTATGTCATATATAAAATGAAGTAAAATTGTCATCTACTTCCAGATGGTGTGGAAACTCCTTCCAAACTATTTAAAATATTTTAAGTATCACCTTATGTTCACAGTAGTGCTTTAGCCATGCTTTTGTTTTCAAAATTTCTGCAATGATTAGGTGTTAGTGTTGAAAAAAAAGTTACGTATTGAAAAATTTCTTGTGCTAGAATTCTGCATTTCAGGAAGACTCGTAGATAATTCTAGCTGATACCACGTTTTGAGAACCACTCTTGTAAGCCTGTTCTTCAAACTAAGGCTTTCCTTTTCTAAATTTCAAGTAGCATGATCAAAAACCTAGAGGCTGAAGGAAGCTCCAGCCCAGTTGCAGGAACGTTTGGTGGCACCTTCAGGACATCGTGGAAGGAGATCAAATTCAGAGGCAGCTGCTGAGGGAGCTCTGGGGAGAACCCGGGACCCAGGGTGGGACTCACGGAGCCGTGGCTGTGGGTGTTCCCTGTAGCCAGTTTCTAACAATAGCTTCATCATTTCTAGAAAGCTCTTTCTATTTCCAGTTTGACTATTTTCATCTTTCTTTCTGGAATGAGATGATTTCATATAAAAAGTTTCATTCAGTATTTAAAAATGCATATTTTTCTTTAATGTGTTCATAAAGTAGCTTACGCTGAAAATTTCCTACCGCTGAATCACATTTGCGTGGCTAGGATGAATCCCATTTCAATATGCTGCTTGATTTAATTTGCCTCCCCCTGAACCATCACTTTTATAAAGTGAGTTAGGGTTCCAGCTTTCTCCTTTTGTTCTCTTTTTCTTTGGTTTGGTAGAAAGACCATGCTACTGTTACAGAATGTATTGGGATGGTTTCCCTATTTTTACTTAAGTAAAACAGAAATTTTAAGTAATATGGAGATTTATAAATCCTTAAAAAATCTGGATAATTAGGTCGGGTGTGATGGCGCATGCCTGTAATCCCAGCACTCAAGAGGCAGGAGGATCATTGCGAGTTTGAGATCAGTCTGGGCTACAAAGTGAGCTCAAGGACAACCTGAACTGCACAAAGAGACCCTGCCTCAAAAAAAAAAAAATCCTGGAAAATTTTCTAGAACTGTGTGGGCTTGGAGTACAGACATTAAAATACCTAACCCATTTATCCTATGTTTCTTGCTCTCTTAAATCTGTCAATCTGACTTATTTATTTATTTATTTATGTTGGTACCAGGGTTTGAATTTATGACCTTGCGCTTGCCAGGCAGGCACTTACACTGCTAAGCTAACTCCCCAGGCAACTTTTTTTGATTCTTAACAACTCATGTGCTTTTCCCTCAGATGTTCAAATTTAATTTTCTATGACATTCCCTTCAGTTTTATGACTACACATTCATCATCCCTGACACTGTTTAATATCTTTCTTACTGTATCTTTAAAAAAAGGAGAATAAAATAGAACAATAAAATGAAACAAAACAGTGATAAGACAACAGGAAATCCACAATCCTTACGGTGCACATTGTTATCCTCCAAATAGTTGTCAGACTACCGGCCCGAGGCTTGTTCAGTCAATCAAACAACACAAATGTCAGTTATTATTATCCAAACAACACAAATGTCAGGTTTCCTCCGTACTCAGTTATTATCACTCGGGCCTGCGTCAGTCGGACAGCTTATGGCATGGCGGGGAGTGGGCTGGGCGGAGGAGCTTCCTTGCTGGTTCTGCCTGGCCTCATTGTATCTTGACTGAATCTGTACGGTGTCTTCACTCTCAGGAAGAGAGAGAGAGGAAAGAGAGACAGAAAGGAAAAGAGGGAGGGAAGAAAAGAAGGAAAGGAAAGGAAAATAAAAGTGAAAAAGACATATTAGTGCTCCACTGGCTTGGTTGCTGCTTTTATATTTATTATTTACTTGCTTTTGGGATTATGTGGATTTTTTTACTTGCTTGAAAGATCAGTTCAACATATTTTAAAAATATTGTATTTTTTAATAAATGTATAAGGTTTGTGATTCTTTCAGTATGACACTGACTACCCCCACGGATTTTTATACATAGGGCCTCTTGGCTTTCCTTTCTAGTGAGCCCATAAGTTCTGTCTGATTGTTTTCTCTGTGATTCACTATCTTGGAAAACCCATTTCTATCCCAACTGAATGAAAAACTTTTCGAGGGAGTTAAATTTAGTTTCCTTTTTTGCCATAATTTATCAGTTATGAAATTTTCCTTTAGATTTTTTTCAGAAAAAGTTAAGATTTGTTTTAAAATGAGCTGCCATTTGTGAGCAAGAGAGAGACAGACAGAGAGAGATTGATCCACAGTTATTTAGAAGAACGTCTCTTTTTTACGTTGGGTTCCTCGGATGGTTGTTACAGGGAGCTTATCACTGTGTTACTCAGATCCCAAGGTCTTACTTTTATTTGCCTACTGATATCTGACACAGGTGGGTTAATCTCTGTATTGATCAGCTATTGCTGTAAAACTGAACCCCTTCAGACCCGGTGGCTTAAAACAACAGTAATTTATCCCTGTTGGGCATCTGTTGGGCATCACTGTTGGGGGTCATCTGGGACTCGGCTGAGCTAGGCAGGCTTGGCTGACAGCTTCTGCCCCCACTGCGGTGGCCAGCCTGGCTCTGCGGCTCTTCCCCTGTGAGTCAGCCAGGTGGCTTCGGTTGACTCTGATGCCCACTGCAAGTCCATGGTCAGATGGCAAAGCCCTTTGTACAGACGGCAGGACTCACACCACCCTGGCCAGGCCACACATCAGTCGAGAATCAGAAGTGCATGTAGCCATCTCAAGGACCTGCCCTGTGCAGTTTGTGATCTGCCCCAGCCTGGTCTCCTCTCTCTACAGTCCTACATGGTGGGCTGAATACCGTCATGATCCCTAAATGCTCTGTCCACATCCTACCCCCACGGTGGTGGATGTGGCCTCTTTGGAAGCAGTGTCTTTGCAGGTGTAAGTAACTTTAGGGTTTCAACTTGAAGCCATCCTTGATATAGGGTGGGCCGGAAACCCAGTGACCAACTGTCCTTGTCAGGGACAGAACAGGAGGAGACACAGACATGCCCAGAGGAGAGGTGACACCAAGCAGAGCTCTGAGTGGTGTGTCTACCACTCAGAACACCAAGAGCTCCTGGCAGCCGGAAGCTGTGGACCAGCTTCCTCTTCCACCTCCACAGAGACCAGCTCTGCTGCAACCTCAGGGTGGGGCCTGTGGTCCCCAGAGCCCTGACATAGTACATGTGCTTGCTGTTCAGAGTGAGCAGGCTGTGGTAGTCTGGGCAGTATTTTAGTTCCTTTGGGGAACCATTTCCTATAGACTGGGTGACTTGTGGGCAAAGAAAATCTATTCCTCACTGGTCTGGAGGCCAGGAACCTGGAAGCGTATGCCAGGGAGGGGCTTCCTCCTCCTCCCGGCGCACACTGCCAACTCCTCGCTCTGCCCAGTGTGGCTGAGGGACCACACTCATCCACAATGGACCCACATTCCCCCAAGGCCTGCTCACACATTGCTGGAAATCCCAGAAATCCCCTTGGTGTGCAAGTGATTTCTTATCACAGGGCTATACCGGGATCTGCCCCTGGATGTTGGCCAGATGCCCTGAGGCATGGGGAAGGCCGTCTTGAGCATTTGCATCTCTACAGGACCCTGACTCAAGTGAGGCCAAGATGGGCTTCAGGCAGGGGCAAGCAGTCCTGCCGGGGGCGAACTTTGCCAACCAGAAGAGTTCAGGGGGATTTGGGAGTTCATGATTTGGGGATTTAGCTACCAAAATGTCCCCAAAGCAGGTCTCATAGTCTCTCTTTCACCATTTGCTGTGTCACTTCATCTTTTCTGCAGTGCTGCCTAATAAAGACAGTGCGTCTGATTTTCAGCACACGCAGCAGGTAAGCTGCCAAAGAGGGGCTGGAAGTCTACATGGTAGAGAAAGGAAGCCATGGTTGGAAGAGGGCATATGGAGGGGCTTCTTCAGCACTGGGAATTTTATATTTATCAATCTGGGACTGGTTTGTTGGTTGTATTCACTGTGGAATCCATCATGACCTACGTTGTGATGTACACATTTTCTGTGGATTCCCCTTCAGTGGAAATTTTACTTCTAAACAAATTTCAAAAAAAAAAAAAATAGGAGCATCTTTAAGGACTTTCTGGCTTTGAAAGTGTCTTGGAAGCTAACTTCCCTCAACCAGTCGTAAGTCTCTTAACATTGCCATGAATAGCCAGACTATTCCCATCCATTTTAATTACTATTATTTCCCTAGCAATTATGTGAAGCTCCAGTCCTAGTCTCCCAAGACATTGGCTTCCAACGGGCCCTTTAAGAACCAGAGATGATGGAAAGATTCCAGCTGACAGCACCTTTTTTGTGAGATGCAGAGGGCAGCTCCGCAACGCTGGAATTTACTGCGCCTGTTCAGGCAGACAGAGAGTGGTAAGACCGTCTGCCTGGAACAAAGAAAAGTGTATCGCTTTTACAGGGATGGAGAGAAGGCAGGAGACATTAGGTGGGAAGATTTTTCTTTTTTTTTTCGGTACCAGGGATCAAACTCATGACCACACACTTGCAAGGCAGGTGCTTAGGCCACTGAGCTAAATCCCCAGCCCCCTAGGTGGGAAGATTTTAATAAACATCTGTGGTCAGTTCTCTGGCTGTCTTGCACTTCATTGGGCAGAGTCCTTGGAGTGTCCAGTGTAAATTTCAGATGTCTCCAGATGTCCCCAGATGTCAGGGACCTGCAGGATCCCTTGTCCTATCTTGTCTTGTTCCTGTGCTTGCCCACGACAGCTTCGACAGCTTCTGTGCTGAGCTGAGCTCCCTGCAGAGACAGTGCTGCTGCCGGGAGGCAGGTTGGGCCCTGGGGGAGTCAAGTCTGATTTGATTCGTGAAAGAGTTGCTGGCTCAGACCGGACACTTTAACCAGGAAAAGCCTCAGCCAAGTTAGGGGGCTCCTGCCTCCCCTGCCCCTATAGATTTGCCTGTAACCCTATACCCCCGTCCCTGTAACCCTGGCGCCAAATGTGTGCCAAAGAAATACCTGTGTATCCCTAATGCCCCTTGGGGTCCGCCCCAGACAGAGGCTACTTATGGGCCTCACTGGAGGAGGAGAAGGAGGAGGAGGAGGAGGAGGGGGAGGGGGGGAGGGGGAGGAGGAGGAGGAGGAGGAGGAGAGAGATCCAGAGAGAGATCATCGGCCCGGGGTGGAGATGCTGCGCCCCGGGGCGGGGTGGGGGTCTCTCCCCGCATTCCCGAAATAAAGGTTACTTATATTTTATATTTCTTATCTTTGCAGCCACCGCCGCCCACTACTTTCATGGCCGTCCACTCCACTCCTTCCACGGACCTCTTTCCCTTCTTCCCCTCTTCCCCTCCTCTTCCCCCTCTTCTCAGACCTAACAATTCGCACCTCACACTTTGATGATGAAAGGAAGTGCCCAAGCTGCTGTGGCAGTGGCAGAAAATTTTAAAAGGTTTTCTTCCCCCTGACTTTAGTTTTTAACATTTTACTTTGAAATAATCATGGACTCCCAAAAAGTAACAAACAAAAGTATGTAAATGAGAATACATGTTTCCCAGCCAACTGGCAAACACCAAAACAACACAAAAAAATGTCCCCACATGTTAGAACACTCACGCACGCTTTGGCCTGGGCCTATCAGATGTTGAGAGCCACACACACACCTGCGCAAAGGCCTGGCTGCCCCCTGGTAGGAAGAACACTCAGCAAGTGGGATTCCATTGAGCCGTTAAATAAAGATGAGGATAATGTAAGTTTAACAACACAGGAAGTTTTCCCCCCAAAATGTGGTTAACTGGAAAAAATAAAGATTAAAAAAACTGTATTATGGCATAATTCATTTACTACTGAAACAAATTCAAACCAGGTTGTTTGTGCCTCTTTGGCTGCATTAATGTCGAAGGAGAGAAATGAGCTCGGAGGGTAAGAGAACCAGTGTGAAATTTCATTTGCTGGTATTGGTTCATTATTTTGCCATGAGAATATATTCATTCATCATCAGTGTGCGAGTTGGCTTTCCATCACTGCAAGGAAATGCCTGAGATAATCAATTTATGAAGAGGAAAGAGTTCTTTGGCTCCGCTCTGCAAGCTTGAGTCCTTTTGTGGGTGGTTCCATTGCTTGGGGAGGGCAGCAGGGTGTGGTGGGCCAGTGGGGTGGGACATAACGTTGCTCACACCCTGCCCCAGAGCCACTGCAGCACAGGGCATGAGGACTCCAGGACCCACAGGACAGCACCTTGCAGATGGAGACTGACTTAGAGGAGAATTGCAGTGCGGTAAGAACTGCGGACGCGGGGTTCACTCCCTCTCACGCCTGCCTGGGGAAACTGTTTTACACTAAGCTAGACCCTGACTATCCTCACCCAAGCTGCGGCCATGTTTAATAAATAAACTCTCCTCCTTTTGTTGCTTTCTTCTGGTCTGTTCCAAAGCCCTGACACAATTTTTTAAACACTTGTGTCCAGTTTACAGTTGTTCGGGAGATCTGCTGGGGGAGAAGAACCTTATCATTGCCAGAACTCAATCATTTGATTTTTATTTGGGGTTTATGATTTTTTTTCTGAGCCCATCTCTGCATCTTTATGGATGCACCTGCTTTCTAAGGCTGTCATAAGATTGGTCATCACAACTAGGCGACATTAAGCCACCGATAAGTGCTTTCTCACGGTTGGGATGGCAAGTAGGCGGGAAGGCCCGAAGGGTGGTTCCCACCTTCCCCTGACCTCGGTGTGCTGATGACCCTCGGTGGCTTCTCTGCACCTGTGCTCCTGGGATTCCCCAGTCCTGGGCCCTCGGGTGTCTTCCGCCCCGTGCCTGTCTCTTCCTCTGCTCTTCCTCCTCTCAGGACACCAGTCATGTTGGATTAGACCCAGCCTGGAGCCAATCTCAGTCCAAATGTATCCCAGTCCGGGGCTCACACACAGGGCCTGGGATTAGGAATCCCACATGTGCTTTGGGAGGACTCAGCCTGCCTGCACCCGAGTCAAACCCATCACCTTTTCCTGTGTGGTGTCTGTGTTTCTGCTTCTCCCTAAAAGATGTCTTCTTCATTCTAAACTTAATAACCAACATTTTATGCTTTAACTCTTTGCATTTAAATTTCTGAGCCCCTGTGATGTTTTTGGTGTAAGGACTGAGGTCCACACTCAACCCTGCATTGTCCCTTTTCCCGCGCAGCTGTTTTAGGACTCCTTATTAAACAGCCCATTCTTTTCTCACTCTGAAAGTCACATCTGACCTGGGCTCAGGGTGCTGAAGCAGACAGATGGCAGCGCGGTGAGCACACGTGGGAGGCACTGCGGGGCTGAGGACATGGTCATTCCTTCTCTTCACCACGCCACACACCACACACCGCTTCCCTGCACTGAAGCCCGAACCAGCAAGACGGGGAACCCGAATTACCGCTCCTGAGCCCAGCTGGTGCATGCTGAGAGCTCTGTGGGCTTCATGAATAACGTCATGGGTTATGCACAACGTGAGGTCCCACCGAGCACCCTGGAACCTCGAAGTTCTCTGAGGTCTGTCCTGCTCCTTCTCAGCCTCGGCCACTGATCATATCTCACTCCCGTGTCCCCTTTCCTAAGGAGCCACATTTGAGGATCACATTGGGACCGTAGGTGTGATTTTGTGGAAGCTGCCAAGATGCCTCCAAAGTGGCTGTGCCATTTTTCACAGCCTCCAGAAAAACGTGAGTCTCTGTGGCCTTGTGTCCGTGTCCTCACCCAGGAATGTCTGCTTTCTAGGCTTTGGCTGTCTGGTAGCTCTGCAGTGTGGTCTTCTTGTTACTGTCATTTGCATTTCTGCGGGACAGGCACTAGGAGTGGCTGTCCATGTGCCTGCGTATGGTGCGTCTTTCCCAGAGAGGCTTTGCTCAGATCCCCGCTGGGGTTTAGTCTGGTTGTTTGTCTGCTCATCTGACTTTGAAGAGTTCTCCATGTACTTTGGGCAGTAGTCCTTTACCAAATAGGGCTTTTGCAAATGTTTCCTCCCACTCTGTGACCTCTTCCCATTCCAGTGCTGGACTGAGTTTCTAAGGGTGCCCCCAGGAAGTCAGGCATGATGCCAGGAGACATCAGCCCTGGACTGGGAGCCCCAGAAGCCGTCAGACCGCTAAGGCATGAGATGGAACTTGCTGCTGGGCAGAGCACACCTGCTAGGGACAGAGATGGGTTCAGGGTGCCCACATCTGGACGGGGATGGGGAGTGAGGAGCTGGGGGTCTGCAGCGCTGCTGCGTTTCAGTTGATTAAGAAATGCTGCTGTCGGAGACTCTCCAGCTTGGGGCCCTCGTGGTGGGGAGACTTGGTCCTGGGACCGGCTGATGGTTTGGGGGTACTGTGGTGTCCCACAAAGGGGACGCCCCCCCCACTCCTTCCTTGCCCTTTCCCAGCCATGAGGCCAAGGGGCTTTTCCCCTGGTCTCCCTGTCACAATGTCC